ATTTGCGGCTGTTCAACGTCTGTCTATACTTGTATTTGTACATATTGTTACGGGAAAGATAGCACCACTTCGTAACAATTCGCTGGATAAAAAAAAATACAACACAGCCACCTTCCACCTGCAACTTCCAATTTCTAGGCTATGTGGGATCCGCCATTTTTTATTGCGATAGCAATTATATGGACAGTCTCGGCTGGTTTTTGCCGTCGGTGTCATGCACAGTATATATATATATATATATATATATATATATATATATATATATATATATATATATATATATATATATATATATATAATTCACGCTTATCTCCCACACGTACTTTGTCCCGCGGATGGGGGCGGGCGTTAGGTGCTTGTGCGCGCGCGCTCATCCTTTTGTGGGGAAATTTACCTTGTTCCTTGCCCTTTAACCGGAACCATAGCGTTAGTTGCCTGGGCCACAAAGGTCACTTCGCTCGATCGGCAGGCCCTATTTGCGAAAAGAGCGCGCTTTTCGAACACAGTGAAGTAACTAGGACACTCGTTAGCTCGCACTCATATCTGTGCCTGTGATTAGGTTTCGTGAGTTGTTCTTGTTTAAACAGTGCATTAAGCTTCGAGCTCTAAACGTTGTTAGCTCTCGTCGTGCGTGTGTTGTTTTTGTGCGTTATTTGTGCGTGAGCAGCGCGCTGCACGTTTCGATCTGCTATCCGTTTTCAGTGTTACATTCCAAGTTGTTGCTATCGCATTCATTGCTTCGCCCTAGAGGCGAAACTGGGACTTTTATTATTAGTATATTAGTGTAAACCTTACTAACGATGTACCAGTTGAAGGAGGTGATTGGACCATGCGGTTTCGACTAGCAGGAGCCGGGCGAAGAGATTTGGATCTGTTTTCAGGGTTCGTCTCAGTTTGGAAATAAAGGTGTGACTAAGCTTCTCCACGCTTATCTAGTGTATGCATAAGGTTCAAGGTAGGGGGACTTGAGCCAATAACAAATTCGTAACTGTTTTCATGACACATATATTATTGTCCCACACATTGCTTAATGAACCTATGCTATTGCTGTACATTACAATGCTGTTACAGCGCTATAATGTAGCTCTCGGACCTAATAGCGGAACACGACAAAAGCTCAGACGCCAACAATGTGGGCGCACAAAGCAGGCTGTTACGGAGGAAAAAAGAAAATGTAGGAGGGAGTTTCGCGTGAAAATTTTGAAGCCTAGCAATCAAAAATAAAACATGAGCATGATGGGAAGTGAGCGCCGCGTATGAAGAACGATCGGGGAGCGGTGTCCGGGGAGGTTGGCTTGTGGGCGCTAGACGCGCGTAATCATTTTTTTTTCTTGTTCACGTGCCCATAGAAAAAAGATATGAAGCAGGAGCATCATGGTAAAAGAGCATGAACGCGAGGACTAGGCGCCTTCAGAAGGGGTGGGCTCGCAGACGCTAGGCGTGTTCCTTCCACTTTTAAGTGTGAATACACTTTATAAGCGACCCCAAACCATCCACCGCCGTCGGCGGCGTCCGCAGTCTTCTCTCTATCTTTAAAAGAAAGAGGACTTGGCGGGCCGCAGCGCGACGCTCTACCGAATAAGCCACGGACGCGACGCTGATATCGGTGTCAGTAACGCGCCTTATACCCCCTCCCCCTTCGCTCGCTCCTCAGCTCTCCTCGCTCGCTGCAGCTGCGCGCGCACCCCTCTCTCTCGCGCGCCCGCCTTCTCGCTCAGTCACCCGTCGAGAGCGGGTCGTGCGATGGATGTAATGGTTCCTGGGAATCGCAATTTGATCACACGGGGGAGTTTACATTAACTCACTGGCGAATGCCAACGGATTTTAACTTTACTCCCCCTCATAGCATCATCCCGTGCATTCGCACTTAACCATGTTCACCCTCGGGAGAATGCTTGGGAATTTTTTACTACGAGCTGTAATGAGCTCACAGCACGGGTCACGAGCGGCGCCGTAGTTGTCCGCCGCCGCCGGGGTCGTAGCCATCATCGTACGAAATAAAAATAAAAAAATTTGGTAAATAGAGCACTTAGGACAAACTCCGATTCGAACACGGGTCCCCACAGTTCCAGCTCGGTATTATACTGTTACGGTGAGATGCCTTTATTTACAGGAGATGATGAATGCGAGAGTCCAGGGATCAGGCCGATCACCGTTCGTGCCAACCTCGTTCTTCTCTTCTTCCACGCGCCCGCCCCCTCAGTATCGTAGCAATTCCCCCTTTGCAGATGATGCCCACCGGGCGAGTTAGGCTTCGTTGCGATGATGATAGCGTTTTAGACGGGCAACATGAACAACGTTGGTCTTGCTTGAGCGGCGGCCAGTAGACAACAGCTGAGATATCACGTACGTGACATCGCCGAGACGTTCCAGGACAACAAACGGACCCGTGTAGTTGGCCAGAAACTTTGGCATCTCACCGTAACAATACTATTGAGCCACGCTAATGCTTGGAGCGTTAGCAAATTTGCCTTCGACAGGTTTGATGTCGAGAACGGAATCACGTTAATATGAGAAATAAAACCATTTTAGAACAGGAAAAGAACCAGGCATAACACAGTGATAATTGCATAACGAGTGGGTCGTCCGATGCTCCAACCCATTACAAAAGCTTGTTCTTGAACACCTAATAACTATGGCACATATCCTCTTCAGGCCTAATTCTTCATCCTTGTCAGCCACTACAAAAAAAAAAAAATTGCCCCAAATTTTTGCAATGTGTAGCAGACACCACACTTCTTCGAAGAATGACGAAGCATAACGCAATGAATGCCGGCCTACTACACAGAAATTATGATTATTTATAGTGTAGTGGGTACCCAAGTAGTGTGCTTATTGCAGTTCCCCAAAGAGTGTTTAGAAAAGGCCCTGAAAGGCCGCTCTTCCAGCTTTCCTGTGACTGGGTTGCTCCTTCCATGCAGGCCTGGCGTTTTTGGTTTTTGTTTTAGTGGACAGCGGGAACTTTCAAGCATACAGCCCTGCTTTGGAGCCATGTGATCGCTCTTCTGAAGACAACTTATTACATTTATTACTGCAGTTACAAACTAACATTGAATTGAAAACAATATAGCAAATGCAATTAATAAACCAAATAAATCGAAATGTTAACTGTAGAAGCACCTATAGTCTATCAGGTGCCCCATGTGCAAGAAGCAAAAACAGTTCAGTACTCGTTCTTCATAAAACTTTTCCAAATAGCTTGCCAAACATAAAAGTTTTTTCCCGGGATAAAATATGTGGAACACAAGTGTGCACAAATTCAGTGGAACAATTTTACAGAGTAGGGCCCTAAACCACTCTGAAAGCAAAGACAAGAGTCATTTCTTTCTCGCCTTCACTTCCCTACTCCCCTTCATACAGACACTGTCTCCTCCTCAGCACTCATTTCTTCATAAAACAAGTGTAATATGTTAGCACTAATATTTGAGGATTTCACACTTTTTGGTTACATGCTGTTATCTCTGCTTGCAAAATTTAAAACATACAAAATGATGGGAAAGCATTCGATTGCACATGATAGCCACGCAAGACAAGACAGAACGGGCATGCAACTGGATGGCAAAGCAGGAGAGGAAGATTTACAGCTGATATTCTTCGAATAAAAACCTATTGAGAGCTTACGCCGTCGCGAGAACAGACTGCTGGCTTCACAAATTGCGCTGAAAAAACAAGAGGAGAATGCCGGCAGAGAATAACACGCTCGTTCTACGTACTTTCAGAGGTTGTTAAGGGGCCCTTTAAGAAACCACCTTTATGGTGCGACGCAACTATTTAATATTTTATCATTACCTCGCACTATCAGTCTGTGGAATAGCCTACCGTTAATATTGCTTCATTCAGAGACCATGACGCTTTTGGCCTACAGTTGAACATTTTTTTCTACACAGCAGGCTTAGTTTCCTTCATTTTTTCGCTTGTGAAAATCTTATGCATGGGTGGTTTCCAAACAGATTGCATTTGCCTTTTCACAGCACTGTCCCACACCTATTTCTTCAATATGAAGCATACAGTGACGCAATTGTACTATATTTTGGCTGTGTTACAAATTTTTCTAAGCAATACTTGCTTTTATGCCACAAAACATTCTCCATTTGAGCTTATTTATTGAATAGCCTGTATGCTTCCCTCCCCCTATGCCTCTTCTAGGGCCTGTGAGGTATTCTTAAACAAAGAAATAAACAGAACAAAGTTTAAGCCCGGCCACAAGCTTCAGGCCCGAGCCCAGGCCGCGCCCGCTGTGAAGAAGACTTCACCCAGCCCGGCTAAAGCTGTGAAACTCAGCATGTGAAACCCAGGCCTGGGCCAAGCTAGTCCTGGGTTGTCGGGCAGGCCCAAGCCTGTGCAGTGCTCTGATGGTGATAATCGCCCAGTGCTCTTAAGTGATGCAAAATGCACTGGGTGCCGTGTTGTTTAACCGTTGCTAATGGATAACTGTAAACATACTTAGGGCACTCATACCACAAAACATTCATTCCCATGCTGGCTAACAGCTTTAGCAGAGGAGCACATTGGCATTATTGCCACTTTTCCCACTATACGTCTAGTATGAACACTGAGAAACAGAAACTATGCATATGTTTGCCTGTGGTACGAAACTGTGTGCTAACAGAGACACCATGCAGTTGTTCTGGCCGAAATAATAGATTAAATGAATTATGCTGTGTGCTATAAATGGAGGAACAAATACGCACCTGCTGGGATCCTAAAATGCAACAGCATAGATGCAATGCTGTAGAATTCTTGGCTTATATATGATAAAAATAGGCTGCCACAAGTTTATAAGCAATCAAAGGTTTGATGCAGTGGTAAGTATGTGCAACAGCTAATAACAAACTTTGTTTCCTAACGACAGTTCAACCTTACTATAAACAATCCCATTGAACTAAGAGTTCTTATTACATAGAATATTTTCTTAAAAAAAAGACAAAGTGTTTTTTTTACATGACAGTTGTGGGAGATATTATAGTTACTTGTTATGCTGCATTTTGATCCACAATGAATTGCCAAACTTGCAACTCCTTATTATCTACATTCACTGAAAGTTCAACAAGTACATTTGTGAGGCGGATATGACTTTTGTCTAGGCCACGAAACTGCCTTTGTTATACAGAAAACTGATCCCAATTGTGCAAGCAAGGTGCTTCCAAGTGGCCAGCAAAAGCCCTTTTGCAGACTCTGATGGCCTGTCTTGCCTTGTGAACACAAGGCACAAGGCAGCAATACAGTATTTTTTCACATAATACTTGAACCACTAATTACAACACCCAAGAAAGAAGAAATAAAAACATACATGTGTATTCTCACATAACTGAATAGTACTGTGCTTCATAATACTATAAATAACAAACAACCATTTTGATAAATAACATGTATACGACTATTGCATTGTACATCAGAACTATTAAACATTCCTGTGCTTGCGTAAACATTACATTTAGCAATACAAATGCTGAAGAACTTGTGGAACATTAATCATACGCACATGCATGACTGTACTTAATGTACAGACATTTGAAAACAGAGAGTATAATACTATTAAAAGCAAAGCAGCATATTTATTTTTTCAACAAAAAGTGCACTACAGTTAGAAGATAGGAGTGGTTACAACATGCATGTCTGGATTTCGAGAGAAAGGAAAAAAACAAAGAAAGCAACACTGCCAAATTTTACTTTGGTGAAGTATCGTGCAATATAATTAATATAAGCATGCATCCCATGGAACATTACTACATAATAAATATTTATTAAATGTCATCTTGTGCCACAAGACATAGGAACAACTATAATTTATGAACCCAATTTCTGCTCTACACTATGAGAGAGCAGAGTATAGACTTACTTTCATCTTAATGCCTAAGCATGACAAATCTCATCATGAATGAAAATTGCAGAATAAAGCATGCAGTTGTGCTTCGTCCACTACAGAAGCACCCCCTAACATTAAAAAAGAAAAAAAAAACACTAAACAAATAAAAAGTTAAAGCATATATTTTAGGAATAAGAAACAAAAGGGGAAAAAAGGACATTCAAATCTGAAATTTCTGTAGGACGTGTGCCCAGGACCAATAGCACAGAAGCCCAACACTAACTCTAAGATACTGGTTGCAGTTGTAGACTACGTAGACTCTGCCCTTTAAGGCCAACTCCGGCGATTTTTTCAGGTCAGTGGATCTTAATAAAATTCACTGGGTACGTTCATTTGCAGGTTTGTGCCATTCATGCCAAATTGCAGGCTTGAGAATTTCGCAAATTATTTTCAAATGAATTTTATAGCGCACCTCGAAACACTCACCTCGCTTGCCAGAATTAATGGCAACATTGTGTGTGTGATGTTGAGTTTTCGCTTGCGGATGTGACGAACTGATGTGCCACTGCAGCGTCTGCTTGTCTGCTATGGATTGTGTGGGTTTGGCTGGAGCTTCCTTGGTTGAGCGTGCGATTTATTTTCTCGTATTGGTGGGCCAAGTGGTGTCGTGTTGCGTTGTCCACGATTCGCCATATATTTACCATAACAGCGTAAGCGGTTTAGCCGATCGCCGCGGATGGCGTGGACAGGTTGTGCCATCTGGCGGGCATTATAGGCAACCGGGCAGGTTCCGGCAGCGTCAGGCAAATCTTGATGTCACATGTAGAAGCGCACTCGGTTGGGTTTCGGTCTTGCGGTTTTTCGGTAATTAAAATTTATTTTCGAATTTTTTGAGCATTTAAGTTATCGGGCACGTGAGAAGAGTGTCCAAGGAGAATAAAATCACTATTATCCTGACATGGTCAAAATATGGCTGGAGTTGGCCTTTAAGAGGAGATGAGTAGAAAATATGCAACTTTTTCCAAAACTACATATTTTTTTTTATTTGCTTTGAGAAGTACAGTTTCTCTACTTTCATGACAAAAAAACTGAAGATTGAGACTAAGTTCGAAGTAGGTTAAAATTGCTTTTCAAGAACAAAAGGTAACTACTAAAAGCTTAAAAGAACTCATCGTCTTGAGTCCCCTGGAAATTCTCACCTGGCTGCTTGCCATTGCTTTTCGCATGAGGAGTTTACTAAAGCGATATGCTCAAAATAACTATGATTGACAAGCTCTTATGATGGAACCAATCATCTTAAAAAACTATCTTTTTCGCAGAAATGAGCTTTCACTTATACCTTTAAAATGCGTTTTTCTCAAGACCCATTTTTGGGCAACTTCTTGAGTTACCCAAAAAATAGCGTTCCAAACTTTGGTAGTAAACGGCGGCTCCGCTACATACAGCACATGAAGTCACACACGCCATATCAAAATGGTGGTCACCATTGGTGTGCACGGTTTACAAGTGGCGAATTCTAGGGCTTATTTTGCACTGAAATATGCTGTTACAGTCAGTTTTTTCATATATGTATGGATAAAATAGACCTTCTACTTTTATCTTTAGCAGATAATCGCACATTGTTGGGTGACCATGTCATGGCCCCTTTAATACTGAGCCACTTCTTGGCCTTGGTGATAAAACACGTTCTATGGATAGCAAACACTGACATAACAAGCTCATCCAAATTTTGTCGTTGCACTCAACACATACTTCACAAGCAGAGCACATGTTTCCAGTTGCTCAAGCGCTCTCTCCTCAAAAGGGGGCCATCCTTTTCTTTCTAATGGTCACTGCCAAATATCATCATTTGGGAGATTCTTGCTATTGGCTGACAGCTGACCCAGAGGATGCTACTAGGATCAGATGCACTACTTCCTATTGTCAATAAATGAAATAGCATTGTTGTTAAATAAACGAGCTGGAGTAAGCAAAAAACTCGTTTAACATTGTAATATGAATGACGAGTTTGCTAAAGAAGACAACTGTCATTAGCTAAACTCACAGTACGCCCGTGCTTGTAAATAAAACTTTGGCCTCAGTACTTTTCATCATCGTGGCCATGGTGCCCAATTTATATTTTGTCAGTTTTGAATGTCGAAAGTGCCCTCAAACCTTGTAAACCTAGAGTGCATTGCTGAGCTCCAACACTCAAAGTGCGAAATTTGTCGTTGTGTCATTGTGGCCACTAATGATTTACACACACGATCGAAAACAAGCGGTGCACACATGGTAGAAGTGTCTCGCTACATGTAAGCATATGTGCCTCTTTACCACACGTGTGCGATGAACTGAAACCACACAGACAGATTATGGCGGGGCCCAGAAGCACAGCGAGAAACAGGCGACTGGTAATGCGGGTTGACAACTAAGCCCATAAGCTCAGTTAAGTAATGCTGAAAAAAACCAACACAATTAACACAGGGAGCAAGACGCTTCGAACAGTGCGGCACCCCCCCGAGCACCGCTAGCTTGTAGCAAGGGTAGAGTAAGCATAAGGGAAATATGGTGCACTCAATATTTTCACTTCAGCTACATCTTTGTGAAAAAACTTTTTGACTGTATTTTTGGGGAAGAAGTCAAACACATTCCAAGGCCTTTTTAATACCAAGCCAGAGAGGTGGGACCCTTAAATAACTTCCCATATGCAATTTGTGCAGAGGTGCATGAGTTTTCATTTTCAGCCAAAAGCTTCATGTGCATCCTGGTGGAATGATTTGTGCAATGCTCCACCAGTTTATTGCACAGCCGCTAGATTGTGTTCCACCAAAGTCAGCATTGTGCTTAGGCACCGCGAGTTCCTTCCCTAATAAAGAGCTCATTGTATTTGGCCTTGTTCTTAAACTTCACCACTTTTGAAACACCACTCTTATAATTAGGGGTTACATTACCATTAGCTGTTATAAAATACCATAAATATATAGCACTGAAGGGGAGATGAGAGTCGAAAAACAAAACTTGTCCAAAATTACATATTTTTTGTTTTTATTTGCTATGACAAGTATAGTTTTTCTACTTTCATGACAAAAAGAAACTGTAAAGTAAAATGACAACTATAGTTTCTCTACTTTCATGACAAAAAACTAAAGATTAAAACTAAGTTCAAAGTAGGTTAAAATCGCTTTTAAACGGCACAAGGTGGCTACTAAAAACTAAAAGGAACCCATTGTATAGAATCCCCTGAAAATTGTCATCTGGCTGCTTGCCATTTCGTATGAAGAGTTCACTAAAGCCACACGGTCAAGATAACCATGATTGCCAAGCTCTTATGATAGAAGAAATTATCTTAAAAAACATATTTTTCCTGCATATATGAGCTTTCACTTATAACTTTAAAATGCACTTTTCTTGAGACCCATTTTTGAGCAACTTCATGAGTTTGGAAATGTTTTTGGAAATTCTCATTGTCAGATCAAGATAAAATTTTTCCCATATATTACTTAACATGTGACTGGTGAAAGTATCTCTTAAAACTTGATATCACATGTATAATCATTATAAACTTAAAGGTAACAGTTAGTACGGGCTGAGAATTCTAAGAATTTTTGCATTACAGTTTTTCTTGTCCATTAAAATGTCGTATAGTCACTTTCTTCATAGTTATTTGCATTCTGCAGTTAATGTAGAGCAATATAAGCCATTATTGACTGAGAACTATAAATGTTTAGAGGAATAAAAAGTTTGTCCAAAACCAACTATATAAAAAACATTGTCATGGCATAAAACTAATACCATGCAACTTACTATAAAAGTGATTGCATACATTTTTGAAGTCGATATAAAAGTCTATATGTACAGCAAAAAATGTCGTTGCTCTAGGCTACAGATTTAAGCAATTTATTTTTCTAATGGCATCTCCTTTTAAACCTGACTTCCAAAACTGTAGATATATAATTTTAATTACTAATCATTAAATTGGGTTACTGGTTCATTACCATAGGTTTGGAGCAACCTTCCATTTTCAAAGCCGTTTCTAGCACAATCACAGCAAGTGAGTTGAAAAATATAAAATCTCCGAAATACTCAATTTAGAAAGCCTGAGTCTTCAAGCCAACTGAAATAAATATTTTGCACTAATGGGGCCGTCCAACACAATTCAACACCCATTTTTTACTTGTGATTGTGTAGACTGTAGTACAGACAGATTAATGCATCAAAAACAGCAGTGATAATTGCACACAGTCCTAAGTTACTTGATTTAGAAAATTCAAAATACAAGAAAAAGAAATGCCCACTCTCAGCTTGACTTTCACGGGGCCATCTGATCACATTTCAATCGCCCTGACTAGCCTGTTGACGTAGGATGGCTCCCCCAAAAATGAGCTGGAAGCTCCTGCGTAGGGGAAGCTTACACGCCATTGTAGCTGCTCCTTTCCAATGTAATGTTGACCTCATTGCTATCGTAACAAACGTGGTGAGTGATGCCCGCCTTGTCAGATCGTGAGCGGGCGCCAGCTACACTACTGTTTCAAAGTGAGGGGGGCACTTTCTGCTGTTCTTTACAACATTCCATGTCACTGCCCCCTCTCATCTGAGAAGGAAATTCGTGGAACGATAGGGCGGTGGAGTACTGTTGATCCCTCGCGAGTTGTTAAGTGAGCTGCCTGATGAACTACAAGGGTGCATTGCACCCCTTCAACAACAATCAAAGACAGCTCGCAAACACACAGAAACATGATAATCAAAGAAAGTGAAGCTTTTCGTATAGACATCAGACCCGTGCAACCAAAAAATTCAGAGGCGAAGTGTTAGCTAACGTCTTTGACGTGCTTTGTAGTCGATTAATTTTTTTTTTTTTTTGTAGCAGCAGCGATTGTTTGGGGCTCAATGAAAAAGCACAGAAAATAAAAATAAAACACATTTGTAATCTCAGTTATGAGGCACGCCACAGTCTCTTGTAGCATTACATTTGAACATATTTTGGATAAGTTGATAGGTTTTTCAGACTGTAGCATCCAGCAAACTGTTCGCAAGTTGACCAAGCGAGTTAAGAAAAATGCAAGCATCACCAGTCATCCAGACCTAGAACAAAGGAAATCTTCAGTAGCACTTCCGTACATACACAGACTATCCCACAATTTTTTTGAAGAATGTTGCCAGCCGGTTTGGTGTAAGTGTGGTTTTTTCGTCACCTAATAAGTTCAACAAGGTTTGTGGGATGATTGAACGGAAGCTTAAGAAGCATGCATCAGGATTAAGCAAAAAAGGATGTGGGGTCAAACATGGAAGTACTTTTGTACAATGCAGGAAGAGTATCGGGTATCTTTAGCTGTTTTCCTGTGGTTGTGTATACCTATATAGGCCAAAGAAGAAGGTGCATCAGCATTTAGTTGTTAGAACACAGACATTCTTTGCAAGGGAATGTATGCTCACATGTGTCCTAACATGTTGCGAAGTGCCATTGCACACCCATCTTTCATGAAGCAATAGTCCTAGCAACACACTAAGATCAAACCATGGGAGAAATAACTGAAGCATCATATAAAAAAAGGGGTGAACAATGCAATAGCATGCCTTCTATAGCCCTACATGATAGTGTGGTTGCGTTTTTAGATAGCACAATATCTTAACTTTCGTGCTGTAGGAGAGTACAGGTGGGATGTATCAAGGTTTTTCATTGTTCATAATGTCAGCTCTGTTTTTTGTCTTTGTGTGGTCACATGAGTGTGATGGTTGAAGTGTCCTTTTTTCCATTCATGTTTTTCCAATAAAAATTCAGTTGCGAGTCAGCGCTGCAGTTTGTTTCTTCTTCTTCTCTTGTGTCCGTGTAGTCATGCACTGTTTTACAATATGTTTAAGTACTATCAGCAACTGGCCCAGCTTTCAGTCCTTGAGCATTACACTTATTCAATCATAGCCTGGCAGCTATCCTCCGTCCTTTCCACCTGCAACAGTTCTCGCAGGCACCACTACGTGCTGATGCAGTTGGCAGCAATGTAGTGATCTTGTGTGGCGATTAAAATACTAAATCACTTGATACCAGTGCATAGACCTATGCTAAAATTACCCCCAGCCATCACTATATGCAAAACGCAAAAAAATTGGTGCTTTAAAAAGTGCTGGAGGGCCCCTTTAAAAAATCTTGAGTAAATACAAAGAGTTCTAACAAGTTATCCTTGCAGTGCACTAAGGAGATGCGTAGATCCCACACTCGTGTTTTGAAGCCACTACCCACTACAGAATGCAACTTGAAAAAGAAGCTATAATATGTCAAAGCATTTCATTCCTGAAGTGCACTATACAGTAAAATTTTAAAATAGTAAACTGGTGCAAAATATTGATTTATGTGGGACCACGAAGAATTCCTGTATTAAGATTTTATACAAGTGTAAGCACCCATGCTTCCAAGAAAAAAAAAAAGCCAGTTAGAGCTAATCATAAGGCAGGAAACTATTGTCCCTGAAAAAGGCGAACCATGGCAGGGTTAGGAAAGGCACGCCAGGCAGCGGCCACACGCGTCACAGCCAATGCACGCAGCAGCATCAGCTCATGCCGTGAAGCTTCGAGAGAACGGCGTGCCTCAACCAGGGCACCCCAGTTTGGTTCCTGAGCACAGCTGGAGGCACGCCGGTTCTTCAGGTCCACCACGCGAACCTGGACACAAAGGGACAGTGCCTTGCTCTGGGCACGCGCTGCCTTTGTGTATGCATCACGCTGCTGCTCGGCACGTGGTAGTGCTGGCACCAGTGGTGCCAATGATGCAAGCAGCTGGTTCATACGGCTGCTTTCCAGCTTGACTCTCTCACTATTCACATGCTGCAGCGCTGCCTTGATGTCCTGCAGCTGTGGCCAGCTTGTACTTGCTGCAAAAGAAAACCCCGCCCCTTTGTATTTGTAAAGGTACGCATGCACACAGGGCATCACCTCTATGATAGAAAAGCCAATGCATGCTTGTCTTTGGCACCAAAAATAAGTACTCGCTGAAAATGAAGACAAATAATACTCCAGATTTATTTATGTAAGGTCTAAACACCGCATATTTTACCAGGTGTGGACCAGTGCTGTAGGATTTACTGATGAAATGTAAATTTATATATACCTGTCGAGCATTTTTTTTTAAGGAACTTATTTCTGGCAACTGGAAATAAAAATGTCATTCTCCTGTGTTTATGTGCACATGCATAATGGCAACAGCTGCGGTCTTAAAAAGAAGAAAAAGACACTTCTTTCCTGAAGTTGTATACCTTCACTTGGGGCATCTCTGAGATAAAGCAACAACAATGTATGCTCAGCCAACATTATTCCCTACCAAAATTTGGTACTTCAGTATTCCTTTCATTATTTCATTGTTTTTCATATTACTATTGTATTTATTTTCACCTTTATTCTATGTAAACTATTTATTCCTAAATTTTTGTTTATTCCTGTGGCAATCGATTTCTTTTTCATGCTTTGTCACAATTAAACAATTTCCTCTTATAATTAAACACCGTTTTCACAGCCAATCCCTTGTAGTGGGTAGGAGCCTAAAGGGTTAATACACAAGCAAGCAAGCAAGCAAGCAAGCAAGCAAGCAAGCAAGCAAGCAAGCAAGCAAGCAAGCAAGCAAGCAAGCAAGCAAGCAAGCAAGCAAGCAAGCAAGCAAGCTAGCAAGCTTCAGCAGGTTCAGTGAATGAAGAACAATTTCTATTCCCCTTTGCGTGTGGCCGTGACATGGCAGAACAGTATATCTCCTCCGTATCATCACAGAGGATGACAATAGTCCTTCAGCGTATCAGTAGTGGATGCCGTTAGAGGTAAACAAAACGTCACTAGGGCATCCAAGCTTTCTTTTTCACTGCCTTGCTTGCCACTTCGCTTTAGTTTTTAATTTTGAAGAAGCATTTTCTGCACCGAGGACTAGAGAGGCTTCGACACTTTCCACAGTGCAGTAAAATAACCTCCTGCATATTTCCGGCAAAATATTTTTTCATGTAGCTCATTATTCTTTCTGTTGTTTAAGCACACATAGAATTGATTGCCATAAAATCTTGAGCATGTGCCTCTGCCTGGAAAAATGCCCCCTTCCCAGTTTCGCGAGATTTGAAATGTGCTCCAAAGATTGAGCAAGCCCCCACCCTCGCCCTCACCTACAATTTTTTTTTTTGCAACCATTTCTCTGCTACAGAATCTTCCACCAGCATTTCCTATAAACCAAATATCTGACGGTCTTTAGACAGGAGCAGTATTTCTTTGTACTTTTACACTGTGGTGCCTCAGGGTTACATTCTGAATTGTCACAAATTGTCAGAATATTTAAACCGTCCTTATCATCTCATGAAATTTCACACGAAGACCCCCCCCCCCCCCCTCCGGTTCAGCAAGGAACAGTAAATGCATGCGTATTCAATAAAGCATTTCATTAGAAGCACTTCTTAGCAGCTATTTCACAGTAATCTTAAATTTTGGTTCTAACCGAGAAAAATCCCTCCTTTCAAATCCTGCACGATTATCTCGCCGTAGGATGGGTACTTGCTTGGGTTTTCATGGTAGACAAATAAACGATTGGTATTTTTGCATCATTTTTGGACAAAAAGATTGGCGAGAAAAGGGTTTATGTTTGGCACGAGTTAGCTGAAACACTTTGTATCAATACAAGAAAAAAACATCTACTTTTTGACGTTGCAATAAGGCTCCAGCCTAAATCAGCGAATGGGTTATAATAGACCATGCACCAAATGTTGTAAAAGAAAAGGTGCTTCTGTACATGTATCTAAATGAGCGGTCATTTATAAACAATTAAAGCCCACTCATATCATTGCAATCCCCCTATATGTACACTTACCTGTCACTGAACTTCTCTCTGCAATAAACTAGCAGCCCTGACAAACGAGATGCCCACCACACATAACCACGCTGACATGGTGGCGCTATCATTAATCGCGAACTCTTACTTTTCATTTTCGAAAGCTGGAGCTCAAGCTGACTGTGCCTCAGTCTTGGTCCGAGAAGCTGTTTAAGCAACTGTCGACGAGCGTCTGAAAAGTCGATAAATGGCCTGTGATTTTGTTTGCCAATATTGAAATGACAGAAGGCGTTATAGGACAGTTCCACCAATAGCGTTATGGCACTTCGCTGAAACTTTCACACTTTCTTTGGGGTATTAGAAAGTATGTTACTACACACAAGGCAGTTTATTACATAAACCTTTAGTGGTTGAATGAGTTTCACTACATGTGCTTCAAGATGCGTGATGACGTGGAGCCTTCCCCATTTTTGGCATTCGCTTTGCATGGCATTTGCGTTGCATTGTTGCAATGGCAAATGATGCTTTTTTGATTACAGTGTCAAACCAAATTAAGATAAATTTCTGTATCACGATTAGCGGATTCGTGCAAGTTGCGGTTGAGAAACTCAATTCCGATTGGGCCATGCGCAACTGAAAGTAGACTGTGTGATACCCATATTACAGCTAACCTTACACTAACTCTACAAAGTAAAAGAATGTTTGAGTTAAAGAAAATGGATTGCCCAGTTTGCGCCGATCTAGTTTTCCCTCCCACATATTGCACAAGCAAAAATATCAGTAGCAAGCCGAGCAGACCCTTGGCAACAGTTCTACCACGAGAACCGCTAGGAATGCTGCAGAAAGTTTCTGAGGTATGTTAAAAACCACTTGGAAGAAACCTCAGGCATGAATGACTGATGCCCAGCACTGACAAGTTGTGAGTAGCTTGGACCTCCTCATAGCTAGCACCTATTTTCTTCATCAAAGGGGCCATGCAAAACTTTTCCAAGTAGCCATGAAATGTATTAAATAATTGACCACCACAAAAACTTTTAGAATCTGTTCAATATGAGTGGAGTTACTAAGGTTTCTCCTCTCTCATCTCCACGCAAGTACTGGAAGCTAAGCAGGGAGGGGATGGTATGAGGGAAGAAGGTACATCAAGCATGAGTGACTAAGGGGAGATGCGGGTCGAAAAACGCGAGTTTTTTTTCAAAACTACCGATTTTTTATTTTCGCCTGTTTTGATAAGATTAGTACCTCTACTGTTATGAAAAAAATAATACAGGTCGAGACTTAACTGGAAACGCTTTAAAGTTCCATCTAAAGAGCACAAGGTGCCTGTTAAAAGGTCAAAAGTGTGGAGTCTTCGAGCACCTTGCCGCCGATAATGCGCCGCTGGTCGCCATTGTTGATCGCATGAGTCGAAGAGTCAAGCCTCACTTTTCAAATAACAACAGTTTCTCTCGCTGATGCAGAGCAAGAAACTATAAAAAGAAGCACTCTTCTGCGCGTTTTTCGAGCGCTGCGACTGACTTATCACATGGTACAAATCGGCGACCGCCATTGGTCGCTGCGCGCCTGTATGTGCGGTGAAACCTATTTGCGGGGTCCATGTCTTGTCGAGCAGCGCAGCTGAACAATGCTTTTTTCGTGTAATCATCTCTGTTATGAATGAAAAAAGGCTTTACTCCCAAGTGAAAGCCGTTGTGCGGCGTGCTCTGTGGGAATAGGCTACGAGCAGCTGGTCCGATTAGCGACAGTTAATTTGTTGGCTTGCAAAAGCCAACAAATTCAAAAGTTATTCACACCCGTCGGCCGGAAAGTTCGTGATGCGGCAATGAATGACGTCAGCGCCGATCTTGCGAGATCGAAAGAGCTCGCAGTAAGAGAACTTAGCAGGGACGACATTGCCATTATGTACGACGGTATGTGGCACAAACATGGCTGCAAAATGGCATGACACTGGACTTAGATTGAATTTCGCAGTCCTGTCGAACTTCTTGCTAACTTGCAGTTGGCACAAGGCTCTACCAGATGGAGCGGAAGTTTGGCAAGCGTTTCATGACCCTGTCTGTGAGCGAAATGTCTGTGAGGAGGCGGCTCGAAAAAGCCGAGAGGGACAAACTCATGGTGCTGGCGTATTTTAGTCGCAGTGGCCACTACGAGAAGGATTGTTCTTTTTGGTATGTAGATTTCATCTGATTTAACGATATCTTTCATATATAAAAACTCAAATTAACTCAAAAACTCGTTTTTCTCAAAGCATAAATTTTGCCATTTTTTCCTATGTGCCCATCCTTTTTCGGGCCCTTCTAGTGCTCGGATCTGCATAAAATTTGGCCCAAATTTTTTCCAAAGTATGACAAATGCAATTATTTAGTTTAAATTTCAATATTTTATTGTATAATAAAAAATTGTATGTATACCTTTACTAGGGTAGGTGAAATATGAACTTTTTACCTCTATTATTTTTCGAGTGTTTTACATATTTTGTATGTGCTTCCTAATTAGTTATTTGCACTCTACAATTTATTTGAGGTATTATGAACTATGGTTGGTAAAAAATTACAGAAGTTTAGGGATGAAAAGAGGGGGGCAAAAGGATTAAGGTTTTCACTTTGTCATGTCGCAAAGTCAAAAGTGTGTAACTTGCAAGAAAACTAATTATATATTTGGAATCAGCATAAAAAGTTTCATAAACAGCGCAAGTTTCATTGCTCTAGGGTGAATATTAAAAAAACAAGTATCTTCGAGCAGCAACTCCCCTTAAGCATTTTTTTTCTCTCTTTTTTTTTCTTCAGACGCTCAGCGCATGCATGGACACATCACAGCCTCCCACGGCGGCCCCACCCACTAACCTTTAAGCATGCAGTGCTCAAATCAGCCAATAATAAGATGTTTGCCTACAATGCAATGATCTTTTAGTATATCCCTTCGAGGTGCGCATTAAAATGCGCTGTCTACTAATGCATCAAAATCACATAACATAATTCCAAGACACTCGACATTACATTTCAAGAAAGAAATTGAAGTAGGGTGCTTTTTTGTGTGAGTTTGTTATTTATTATAATTAGCATGAAGTCAAATATTTCATTATTCTGCGGTCAGTCATTTCCAATTTTAAGTTAAAGTTAAATCATAGGCTTGACATGTGTGTGCAGTTAGCTTTTAGTTAGTTGCATTCACATCGAGAAAATAAAAGCTATACGTTTCACCTTGGCTGCGGAACACAGTGCGTCAAATTACCAGCCAAACATCGTGGTGCCTTCACCAAAGTGATCGGCTGCATACATACACAACTCACCGAGGTTAAGCCAGGACATAATGACTACACTTAGGGTTCAGTACGTCTAATGAGCAATGCATCTTGCTCTCCCTTGGCCACCAATTCGCACAACTAGGATAAAAAAGTTGCAAACACAAACGTAGCCACCACCGCTGAAGGTGATATAACATAATTTGTCGACAGAACTAATATGTGGGGTTTAACATCCCGAAACCACCATATGATTACGAGAGATGTCATAGTGAAGGGCTCCGGAAATTTCGACCACCTGGGGTTCTTTAACGTGCACCTAAATCTGAGCACACGGGCCTACAGCACTTTTGCCTCTATCAAAAATGCAGCCCGGATTCGCTCCCGCGACCTGCAGGTCAGCAGCCGAGTACCTTAGCCACTAGGCCACCGCGGCGGTCAAGAGAAGAAAAAGCAGTTTCAGCTACTTAGAAAATTAATTAATTAATGTTCTGCCCTACAATATTTGGCTTGCATGTCCTCAGGGGACCTTGACGACCAATCAGCAGCATTTTCTGACCCTGCTCATGAAGTTTTGCAGGGCCTCTTCAAGACATCTTGTCTAGCCGGTGTGTCTCATTTTGCACTATACTGCTAATAAGTACTGGTAACACAAACAAATAAAGAGTTTTCAGCGGAGCTCCAGTGTACTTTAGTACACTACCCACTTTACACTACTTTACACTGCTTCAACTATAAAATTTGTATCTGCTTTACCGGCAGAAACATATAGCACTAAAGTTTAAACATATTTTAACACAGCGCACGACTATGCGGACACAAGAGAAGAAGGGACAAACCGCAGCGCTGGAGGGTTTGTCCCTTGTTTTCTTGTGTCCGCGTAGTCGTGCGCTGTGTTAAAATATGTTCAAGTACTGTCATCAACTGGCCCAGCTTTCAGACCTTCTTCAGCACTTACAATTACCTGAATCTGATTGTCACATGATATTTTGTAGTGTTACTTATGAAGACTGAGCAGCTTCAAGAAAATTTTAGGAACATATAAGTATTAAAAGCTTGATACAGCTCATTTATACTTTTTCCCACATGGTTTCTGCTTAACTAAATAAAAATAGAGGCAGAACACTGTCATTCATTTGTGGCCTGGTAGAATTCCTGTATCATTATTAGGCCTCGCAAACATTTCTGTGCTACTGTGACAGATAGCCAACACTAGACTGGAGGGCAAAATTTGCATACCACTGGTATGTAACTTACCTGATGTGCTAACACTTTCAGACAATCCCTTGTAGAGAGTCTTCTTAGAGATCATTTTTAACTTGTCTTTCAGTTCACCACGCTCTGTCTCCAAAGCATCAATATCAGCTTGTAAATGGTCCATGGTCTCCTCAAATTCCCTGCATCCAAATATTGTAAATAAATCAATAATCAATTATCAAATTAGCAGAATACTCTTATGGAACCAAAACACTCCCAATTATTAGAGTCTAAACTAAAGAACTTTGCAAATTAGAAAAAAAAAGAGATCATATTGAAAGAGACGCATAACAGGTAAAGCGTCAACTTTCAACCAAAAAATAGCGATTCAGGAAAGAACAGAAAGAAACATCACTTGATGTAGACCGATGTCACTTCAAGAGCCTCATCTGGTATTTTCAGATGCTATTTTCAATATCAACTTTTTTTCGTACTATCCTACATGTTCTTGCCTAATGTTCTCGCCTAATGGAGCACTATTAATATTATTCCAACAAAAACAGTTTATAGCATGCCTTGGAGGTGAATAAGAGTAAAAATTCAGGTATTTCTAATGATTTGCTTTTCCGAAAATGTTCAAAACACTTGCAATATGCAAGTGTTCATATTTCTTATCAAGCTCAGACAACATTTAAAAAATTTGTGCAATAGACAGCTTCATGTAGGATAATGGCTATAACAGAAGCATGTTCTAAAATTAAACACAGCTTTCAAAATTTAATTCTATAGCTCATATTTGCTGCCAGTTTTCAGATTGCAAAAAATGAATAACAATTACACTGGCACTTACACAAATCATTTCTTAAATATAGATGGCGCTGTGGCACTCTACGCCTTTATGGCTATTGATCCTGGTATTTGAATTCAAGTATCACTTTGTGACCTTTTTGCAATAAAGATAAGAGATGGTATGTTTTTGTCAGTATTTTTTAAATTAGCGCATGAAATAATTGTCTAAAACAAAAAGAACAGAAAACTAAAGGATACTTGTAAGCAGCATTTAAACTGAACAAGTATTCTCCATTTCATAAAGACTTGTGGAAAAGGAAAACAAAAATTACTTAAGGGACCAAGCTTGACCAATTACATAATAAGAAAGGTTGGGAAACGTGCTGCAGTTACAAGCGGCAGAAAAGCAACACGAATAGATGCCACAAATTCATCTTTTGTATACTTACCTTCTGGAGGTGTTTTGTGCTGCCTATATGGCACAAAGTTTCCCTGCCTATGCTCAACATACTTACGAAGGGGATGCTCAATATTGTAATAAGTTGCTAAAAAGAATTCAAAATGGATTGTAAAATCTAGAATGTTGTTGAAGTGTTGTTAAATCTAAGAAGACCCTTTGTACAATCAAAGCCATGAGGTTAAAAAGTAGCAAAATACTTCAAATGAGCACAATCGCCATTTCTAAACCATGCACCTCTCACATGTGGCTAAATGACTGCAAAGACTGTGATGACCGTACGATGGAGCCTTCCTACAGTACTCAAATGAGATAAATGAGCCACCACATCAGCTTGGTGGACTTCACTAAAACCTGCAAGATGTCAGGCCTGTGCCATCCTTGTGGACAACAAAGTTGTCACTTGTTTATCATCACTTAATCCGGAATGTCTCATAATGTGGACACATAGCTTCACTGTGTTAACCGAGGTACCAGTGCCCTGGCCCTGCGTGGTCTGGACATACATGCGCAATGCAATGGCTGTGCACTGGTGCACGGCTCGTAAATGGTCCAGACTCACTCGCCCAGTAAAGTTTTTCCTTCCTTCATTTCTACCAGTGGGCAGCATTGACTGGCCCTTGGTTGGCCAGAATCATACCCTTGCACTTTTGCCCACACACTGTGCTACTTAGTGATGAAAACGAGGGGAATGTGACAAAGGAACTTTTGGCAGTTTGTAATGCCACTGCCACAGACAGTTTTAGGGACATTTGGGCAAGGGAGGATTCACAAGGTGGTGCTCCATTTCACTTCTATTACCTTTCAAAGTTTAGAAAGAAACAAAAACAAAATGCTATGATGACTGTTGAAATTTCAACGTGTACCACAAGGTCCGACAAAGTTTACATACTTTTCTTTCTTGCGAAGCAGCATCTTTGTTTCATCCAGCTGTCTCTGAACTTTGTCAACTCGTTCATCACTGTCCCGAGTCAGAACCTCCAGTTTCTTCTCGGCCATGTCTTTACGAACACACATTTCACTGCATTCCTCACTCTGCAAAACAGTGGCCACCCCAACACCAGTCACATTATACAGGAGCATAAGGCCACCATTGATGAAAACACTCAAGCTTCCTTTCTGACACATTTTGCTTATTTGTGCAGCGACAAATCTTTAGTATTGAGACTTTCTCGTCAATCTGACTGCAAGTGTGCTTGGCAAAGTGTAAAAGAATTATCTCCTAATTAGGCTAAACAACATAAGTGGATCATGAGACTTGGGGTATTTTTTTCTTTTTTAGATATAACCATACAAAGCCAACACTTAATAAACCGAGAGAAACGAACCAAAGAGATCATCATTGATACTTTTATCTGATGTATAGTATTTATGAGATCACTATACTCTGGGTATTACATGCCAAAACCATGACCTTACCACGAGGCAAGGAGAAAATGCATTGCAATACGTGAGAAAAACCTTTCCCAGCAGGGACCAAACAAACAACTATTAGATGCAGGCACCATATTTCACTTTTCTTGCTCTTGCCATGGGTAGCAATGCTTGCTTAAGGGGTATGGTAGGGTAAACAAGTTATCCTGGCTTCAGCTTAATATCTCTGGAGTGGTGCTATATTTTGTCCTGAAATTTTATGTGCTTAATAAGAAAGGCAATGGTTTAATAAGAAAGGCAATATTAAATTTTGACCCTGTATCTTTTCTTACTCCCTTCTGGTGGAGCACCAAATTTCAGACTAGTGCAGAAAATTCAATGTACCTTTTCTCAAAAACCAAAAACAGTATGACCACGATATTTGGCATGCTTATTCGACATAACAGTGGTATTATTCTGGACCTAAAAAAAAACTGGCTTTTATTTTGTTTTGCAAGAAAAGAAATAATGTTCTCACTTGTCACGTGCCATGAAGAAGACGTTCCCATTTTTTTTTATTTGTAACTTGAAATGTTTTTCAAAGTTTTATGCTCAGACCATTTGGGGAATTAGCTATAATCAGACAAAATTTGGGCACGACTGGTCAGATAGTTCTCCAGGACATCTAGTTCAGAAAATTTTTACAAAACTGATTGCGAGAAAAACGCACCTTTAAGTTTTAAAATAACCGTGGTACATTCTCACAACATAACTAAAAAAAACTGCGGGAAAAAGAGACATGAACACAGAAGGTACACGCACAAGTGCAGACTAGCAACTGAAAGCTTATTATGCCCGTGGAACGTGCTCACAAGACAACTACTAAAACTGTGGAAAAAAGAGACATGAACACTGAAAGCACATGCACAAGCGCATACTAGAAACTGAAAGTTTATAGAAGGAAACAAAAATATAAATAGCAAGAAATGACATAAAAATTAGACATAGGCACTTAGATAATCTACCTGTAGTTGGTGCAATGTGACCGAAGGCCACACGTAACATACAGCCATAATTGTATGTTACGTGCGACACACGTAACATACAGCCATAATTCTACTAAAAATACATTTTGGCAGGAAAATTGGGAATCAGAATATATGTAAATAGAGTTAAACCTCGTTAAACCGTACCTGCTTAAACAGTAGTTTCGTTTCAAAAGCAGTAAAGCCAAATCCCCAACTTGTCCGCCATTGAACATAATGCCTTTTGTATCCGCATAAACCGTACTAGCTTATTGCGTACGTATCGGTTAAAGGGACACTAAAGTCAAATAACAATTTACGCCAAAGTGAAAGCTCAATGTATGACATCTAAAATGACAATATTATCAACAACAGTGCACTCCTTAATGAGAGATTAAGGTATATGGAGAAGAGCACATGCGCCGCAGCAGGAAATTCTCAGAATGATCCCGATGACATCAGACGGACTGCCTACAATTATAATCACTAGTAATCGATCCAGCTGCACTAAACAAAGAACCTTCCATGCATCAAGAGATGCAACAAAATTCTGCTTGTTCTTTTTTGTTTGATTCATGGAAGAAAGAACCGCTGGACCTAACTATGGGGAATAGCGTGAGTGGTTCAAAAATTTAATTTTAGCGTAGTTACATTGGACAGGTGGTGCCATCTATCGGGTCGCAGTTGAATAAAAAAACGTCTGCAATCTCGGAGCCAATGGCGGAAAATTGATCAATGGCCATTGTTGCTGCTATGGCTCCTGCTGATTTTGGTTGGCTGCAAGTAGCTTAGTAAATCAACGCGAGTCGGTCCAGTTGGTCCGCTTCTTGAGGCGGGTAATTTGAAGTGCACTACCCCAATGCGGACCATTAAAACGTGATTTTATTTCAAAATAGGCCCTTCATTGGCACAAAAGTAACACTACGAGGTTTCTGGACCACTATTTCAACAATCAATGTCGACTTAATAGTTGCTGTTAGTGTCCCTTTAATAAGTAGTTTTTCCAATTTTCGTTGCGCACTCGCCGCAGCATGTCGTCCCCCACTGGGCGTCCACTCGCCGCAGCATGTCGTCCCCCACTGGGCGTCCCGACAAAACAGCACGCCCCAGAGATAGAAGCACGCCTCGCTTGTTTGTCTTGATGATGGCTGGATAGATGGATGTACCCTTTAGATTGTGCGGCAGCACACGCCACCTAGCCGTAATACTTAGTGAACCAACAACTAGGTTTATCTTTTTTTTTACTTTAAATAGTGAAGTTGAGGACTGGTACTTTGCAGTGAAGGGTTTAATTTTCACTCGTGCCTTGACTTTAGCCACCAATCGAATAACCTCCTAGTTAATTCTACCTGCTTAAAGTCTATTTTGCCCTCCCTGTCCCTAAACCCCAGTGCTTTGAAGAACTCTGTGCCATCATCCTGAACTATACGGTGAAGCCCTTTACAGAACATTATCAAGTGTTCGGCAGTTTCTTCTTCCTCTCCACACGCACTGCATACTGTCTACCCCTTCGTATTTGGCCTGATATGTCTTGGTTCGCAGTACTCCCGTCCTTGCCTCCAACAGTAGAGAACTACCCCGAGTATTATCATAGATCCTTTCCTTGGCAATTTCCTGCTTAAAAATTTGATAGATCTCTAGTGCAAACTTCTTAATCATGCCACTTCTCCACATGTTGGTCCTAGTTTCCTTCACCTTCTTCTTAACCGATAATTCTTTTTAATTTGGCCCCCTGCTGTTTTTTTAAGTATTTACCCGTCAATTTTCTGGTGGGCTTCCTCTATTTTGTATCAACATTCTTCATGTAAAAGTAGCTGAAAACCTTCCTAGCCCAACGCTTCTCCTCCGTTTCTCTCAATCACTTCTCAAATTTTATCTTGCTGCTTGCTTCCCTGACCTCAAATGATGTCCATCCCATATCACCTTGTACTCCCTGATTTGGTGTATTCCTGTGAGCTCCTAAAGCAAGCCTACTAATTCCACGTTGCTCAATTTCTAATCTTGCTTGAACTTCTGATCTCATGCACAAGACCACATTGCCGAACGTCAGACCACAAACCATGACCCCTTTCCATATTCCTCTCACAACATCGTACCTATTGTAATGCCACAGTGCCCTATTTTTATCACTGTTGCATTGCTGTTACCTTTAGTCGTTACGTATATTTCGTGTTCTCTTAGGTACTCGGTCCCATTGCTTATCCATACGCCCAGATATTTGTATTTATCTGTTATCTCTAGCGTGACCTCCTGTATCCTAAGCTCACTACCTTCATTGTCATTAAAAATCATGACTGCTGATTTTTCCTTACTGAATCTGAAATCTAACCTATCTCCCTCATTACCGCAGATGTCCACCAATCTCTGCAAATCTTCCTTGTTGTCGGCCATTAGCACTATATCATCTGCGTACATCAACGCTGGTAGTGCTTGTTCAATGAGTTTTCCTTGTTTGACGAAAGAGAGGTTGAAGCCCAGTCCACTTCCCTCTAATTTGGCCTCTAATCCTTGTCCAGTATTCCCCACAAGTCCTCTTGAACCACACTATTGTACTCTCCCTTAATATTCAAAAATGCTAGCCACAGGGGCCTGTGTTTCTTTTCTGCTATTTCGATGCACTGCTTCAGTGAGAACAGATTGTCTTCCAACCTCCTGTGTTTCCAAAACCCATTCTGCAGTTCCCCCAGCACCGCCTCATCCACTATCCGTGCCTGCAGTCTTTCCTTTATAATCTGCAATACCAACCAGCCTGTAGACCACTGATGTCACTGTTATAGGACGGTAGTTGTTTATGTCAGCTTTGTCCCCCTTTCCTTTATAAATCATGCTCATCCTGCTAAGTTTCCATCCATCGGGGACTTCACCATCGATTATTGTTTTGCTCACTGCCTCTCTCAAAGCCTGCTTAGACTTCGGATGTCTTTATCAGCATAATTGGAATGCCATCTGGGCCTGTTGATGTACTACTAGGAACCCTCTTCTCAGCCCTTTCCCAATCCCCTTGTGAAAATGGAGCCATTGCACCACTTGATCAATCCTTGTCTATTGTGGTGCATAAGGCACTTCTTTGTTAAAAATTTTCTGTCACCCTTGTTCTTATATATTCAATAGCTTCGTCCCCTTCTAGTCTAGCACCTTGAGCTAAAACTCTGCTCTAGGCTTGTCTCATTTCTTAAGGAGTTTAGATGGTTCCAAAATTTTGCAGCTGCCTTTCTATCCATTTTATGTACTTCTGCCAGCCACTGAGCCCCCTTTCTTTTAATCTTTTCATTGATCAGAAGGGATGCTTCCCTTCTACAGCTTAGAAAGATGTCCCCTTTTCTTTCAACATCATCTATCGGTTCACCCCGCTGCTTAGCCTGTCTGCATTCCCTAGAGGCTTCCCGACGTTTTGCTATGGCTCTCTTCACTTCCTCATCCCACCAACTCTTGGGTTTGTGTCTTCTTTTCTGGAGTGACTTGTCATGTGCCTTAGCAAACTCTAGCTCAAACAGTCTAATTAGATTCGTGTTTGTCTACACTGTTTTATTATCCTCAGTGAGTAATTCCTCAATCTGTTTGGCGGCTGTGTTGATGAGCGCCATCTCTTAGATTTTTTCGCAACAAGTATGTGGCCTCCGAAATTGGAAGTTGAGCAATCGGCCGGCTGGGCTTCTG